CCCGGCTAGGCGGAATTTGGATGGGTGACCTAAGGCAGGCTCGGGGACGTGGCTGTGGCAGCCTACCAAGAGACCTGGGTCGCCCAACATTTGCCGCACGCGTGTGGTCCCCGATAAATGGTAATGAGAACAGAGCAAGAAATCTCTGTATCTCAAGACCATGCTATCATACATAAACTGTACGAGACTTTGCCACCAAGCCATCCGTGTAGTAAATAAGATGGTTTGAAGAAAAGTACTCGAGTAATGAAGGAAGGTGTACAAGGAGCCTAGTAAGGCCTAAGTGCCGTGGTGGATGACAATTCCACCACCCCTCCGACATACATACATACATACATACATACATACATACATACATACATACATACATACATGGCCTAGCGGTGCAGTGCAGCAATGCGGGATTTGGTGTGATTCAGGTAATTTTAATTTATTACATAAGCACCTTCTATTAGTCATTCATATTGCAATTGCAAAAGGGAGAAATAAGAGGGATATTTTGTTTACTAATATTATTACAACACGGCATTTTGGAGACGTTTTGAAACGGAACAAAATGAAATTTACCATCAATATAATAAAATTGAGGACATGAATAATTAAAATATGTTGATGGTCAAATGAACATATAGGTAATAGATATTTTCTACACATTATATACGAATTATTATAATTTTTTATCTCTAGCAGAAAACTTTTTTAGAGATGCCTATGAAACTCATTAAATTTTATTGCCAGGCATTTTTATACATGTTCAACTGACTTCGGAAAGACTATACTTCTTATTTTAGGAGCTGGTAGCTTTGAATTTAACAAATGATAATTTATTTTAACATGTAAAAAGGAGCTACAAACGAGTGAATTGTGAAACTATTTATTTAGTCAAAAATTGTTAAATTCGAACAATAATTCTATTTTAGCAGTCAGAATCACTGCAGTTGGATGAATTGGAAATTAAACTGTGGCGATCGCTGCAAGGTCACGGCGGAAATGTCCTAAGCGTAAAATTTTCACAAGTCGTTAGTGAATTTGTGTGTTCAACCGCCACCGATCGACAGGCAAGAATTTGGTCTGTGTACAGCGCCGACTGTTTGTATGTCCTCGATCACGATTCGATAGTAATTAGCTGTTCTTTCAATTCAGATTGTTCCTTATTAGCTACAGGGTGTTTGGACAAGACTTTGTATCTTTGGAAGTTGCCTTTGCAGATGGTACGTAGGTACACCCAACAAAATTTGTTTATTATGTCAAGCCTCGTTTCAGGTATTTCAAACAGCTGTTGCCAGCAAAATTCACTGCAGATCTAAAACGCTTGCCGAATGGACTACTTCTGATGTAATTAAGTGGTTGAAAGATATCGGAATGAAAGACATAACTAAAAATGTTCAGAACACCTCGCTTGATGGCAAAAAGTTGCTAACGCTTTCTGAAGAAATAATTTGTGCCGGATTAGACTTAGGTAATAATGATTTATGTCTATATATGCCAACCAAAATGTCTTTATGCTTGTTTCTTTTGAAGATGATGAAAAGACCGATAAAATGATAAATGAAATAAAATGGTTAAAGAAGAGTGAGACCCAAATGGAAGGGCCGCAAAGTTTACATATCCCTGATGAATATTTGTGTCCCATCACCCACGAAATTATGAGGGAACCTGTAACTTGCAGTGACGGATTCACTTACGAGAAACATGCCATAGCAGAATGGTTTATGTCGGGCAAACTCACAAGTCCAATGACCAACGAAGTTCTTTCTAACACTGACTATGTTTATAATCTGGACCTAAGAAATACAATTCATAAGTTTTTAGATTCGGGGGAATCTAATGACGCTGAAGATGAATCTTAGAACCAGAATCTTCACGTATCAAAAAAGTAATAAAAGTAGACAAGCATATTGGTATATATTCTTCTATTCCTTGACTAAATTAAACTGGATTTTATAGTGATGTAATCAGTAATTAAGAGGTTTGAGTTGTGGTACACTACAATCGCACAAAAAGTCACAAATAAATTCGGTCAATTATTGTTCTGTAGAAAAGTACCTCTTTTTAGTTATAAATTAATTATAAAATGTTTTCTTCATCTTTTTTTTTCATATCATTTTATAAAGTCCACTTTTAAATTGTACATACTATGAACAATTGGTGGCTATTATTTGAAATTTAATCCTAGTTTTATGAGATGATAATATTAAAAATACAGTGCAACCTCTTTAATCCGAACACCACATTGCCAGGCATTGTTTGTATTGTCGAATCGTTCGGATTATCGAACATACTATAAAGATTTGTACATATGTATATTATGTAAGAACATACCCATTTTATTATAACAATATAAATATAAATCATATAAGATACATAAAACTTATATAAGATACATAAAACTTATATAAGGTAAAACATAAACATGTAGTTAAATATACATATTTTTTTTATTTTTACGCTTTTCACATTTTTTATCAATTTAAGTAACAAAAAAAAAATAAAAAGGCTTTAATTTTTGTCTGGCGCATTGAAAAAGTTTGTTATTTTTATCTGTTTCTTATTTTTAATTGTTGCATCTCGCTGCATTGCTACCGACTACGCGCGAAACGATCTAGTTTTTTGTTGTCATCTTTCAGATTTGGTCGTTCGGATTAGCGTGTGATCGTATTAACGTGTGTTCAGATTAAAGAGGTTGCACTGTATAATGATTTGAGAAATAATGTATTTATCTTATTTCCATTTTTAGAGTTTATTTACAACATTATGGATAAGTAATGTCTTTAGTTTTATTGTTGAAATAATTTAAATTAAAAAAAAATTCAAGCAGATACTGTGATAAACTAAGTTTTAGTTTCATATATTACAAAATATTTATATTAAATTAATTAGTTAAGAGCCTAGCTTAATTTTTTTAAATATTATGTTATATACAAGGTGTAACTTTAAACGGGAGTCAGTTTTTTTATAGGTAATAGTATTTAATTAAAATACACATTATACTATATATGTGCATGCCTATAAATTTCTTCGTGATACCAAGAGCTGCTTCATCTATCTACGGAATGACAAAATACTTGATGCACCTTTTATATTGTTAGGGATTTTGTTAAATGTCTTCACATCTTTAATATGTCAGTTATTTTAGTTACCATATTTTTTGGAATCACTGTGGTCGAAGCGCTGAACATTAAAAAAACATACTATCGTTTAAAAAAAAAAAATTTTAATTGTAAATTTTTTTTTTGTCAATGTGGACAAATTTAAAATTTTCACAAGATTTATTAAGTATTTACTAACATAATAAAAAATAAATATAAATACTAATCTGATTGATATGAAATATTTAAAATGTTTAAAGTTTTTACAAGCAATTAGTGTTACAATTTTTTTATACACGGCGGTGGTGCAGAAATGTACTTTTTAATAACCTTTCCATTAAGGAGGTTTATCTGATTTGGAATTGACAAACAAATATTCATAAAAAAATTAATATAAGTTTATTAATATGAAGAAAATCCTCAAACCAAATTATGACTAGTTTGGATACCTAAGAGATGAGATATTAATAAAATAATTTTTCACGATTTTAGTATGAAGTCTTATAAGAACGCAGATTTTTTTGGTCTTTCCACTTAGAATGCGCAACAATTGACGAACAGTTTCCACAGCAACTTGTATAAATAGGTACTTGTAAGATACATAATTTATAATAATTCTCCTTCAAACTGCTGTCGTTGACTAACTTAACCTCCATATGCGTGATAGGGCAACGCCGCAGTTCTCGACATAACGTATTATTTGAAATTCGCATGTGTGACATATGATGTATATTTACGCCAAGCCGAGCCGAGCGCACCAGCCAAGTGCAACGTTGCCAAATCTAAATGCATACTACTTTAGTTACTAGCGAATCTACAGAAACTCTCGTTAGACTTTAGACATACCCCCGTACCCGATAAACCTCCTTAAACATGAAATTTGACAACAATGCACACCTCAGTTCCCAATTAATGCTTGCGCTGCGTCTAACGTGCGCCTTTGTTTGATGTCTCACTAGCAGCAGCAGGGTATAAATATTACTAAAAAAAGGTTAAAAAGAAAATGTAATTTTCATAACAGAATTAAAAAAAAATAAACTATTGATACACGTTTCTAAAGTACAAAGGTAGCCTCTGTATAAATATGACCCTCCACTCAAAGTTACACCCTGTATACATATTAATTTTTATTTACTTTTACTCAATAGATTAGTAGATATTAGGTACATACTTTATTTCATGGTCCACTACATTTAATACAAAACTTAGAATGAAAAAGCTGATAAGTATAGAAAACAATTAAGGCACTTTTCATAATTAAATATTAAATATAGTTAGGTAACATGCAAGCTGTCTTATCTCTTACAAGGCACTTAAACCCGTTTTGTATTTACAAATTTTTTACCCAATAAATTGGTCAGAAATTCGTCTGTAACGAATTCTCTTGTTTCAATAAATTAGCCACAAAATGGAAAACAGAAGAACTGAATTTTGGTCATTTTTAGTGAACTCAATCTAAAAATATTTGAGCTAATAAAAGTCAGGAAAATTCTGAAAATTTCCCTTGTAATAGGAAGTGTGTTAGTTGCGTATGAAATCGCAACAAAATGATTTCAAAAACAAAGTTTCATGCCTACTAAGTTATGGGCACAACTACTCCATAGGTTGCTTGAAGAAGCAATCCTAAGTAAAATATGAGAATAGTAACATCTTTCTATAGTGGCTATTTTTAAGTGTGGGTCTTTGTCAGGAGTACGGATAACAATAAAAATACAAGATATTTCATTGTAGTAATGTCAATATTGTAATGATTCGTTACTAAAGAATCGTTACTTGCTAGTAATCGTAGTAATCGAGTAGCTGTTCTGTCAAGTAATCGTTACACGATTACTTGCCTTATGCAATACCAATACACACTACCAGCGAGCAACGAGGCTACGATTAATACCGATTCCCATGCATAGCTAGATTCAGTCTTGGTCATCGGTACTCTGGTGCACTCGCACAAGATTTGGGATAAATATATTAAATATTTCTAAACTGCCATTGTGTTAAGGTATACATTTAGGTAGGTGATTTGTATTCGTTCTCGTTGTGTTGATACATTTGTGTATATTATAGTGGCTGTGGCCATGGGTATAGGCACAGCTTGCATACAATTACAATACATCTATTCGTTGGAAATACTCTCCCGAAATCAGGGTCAGTAAACGTAACAAGTAACGAGTACAAAGTAACGATTACTTATTGAGAAACTACCTAGTAATCGCGATTACATAAAAGTACTGGTTCTGACATCACAATTTCATTGAAAGGTTAATTTATTTAATAATTTAATTGTCAGGTAATAATAATATCAGACATATCCTTTTGAATTTTTATTTTATATAATTATTAATTATTAGCTATTTACCAGATATTGTTGGTGTAACCCATAGGCAGATTTATTTGAATCACCTCAATATGATGAAAGATGTATATTTAAATTTTTATTTTGATAAATCGAAAAATCTAAATGATCATTACATAATATGTTTATTTTAGTTCAATTAAAAAAAAATAAATAGTATAAAAGAAAACTTTTAAAGGTAAAATCGTTTTAACCAGGTATTAGTTACCAGGTTAAATAATCTACGTAGATTGACGATCGGATTATGCAGATAAAATAAAGTATTCTAATTTGGTTTAACGTTTTGCTACTTATCCTATTAGCTTCGCCAGAACTTATCCAAAACCTAATAAAAAAAAATTATTCAGGATTAGTACCCTGATTTACACGAAATGTACCCTGATTTACACGGAATTAGAAAGTCCATTCCTCCATTCTGTTTGGAAATCGAATGGCATGTATATTACTGCATTTTTTAATTTCTCGTTGAATTTAAGACATAATTTGACAAATAAATGTTGGGTCCAAGTCATATCGTTTGGGTGTTAGAACATTTCTTAATCGAATCGAAGAACAATTTTTGATTTTATTTGAAGTTTGAATTTTTTGAATATATTTGAATTAGGTTAATATCTTCATAATACAGTACATTTTCGTTGTTTTATTGTATATGTAATAAAACAATAGAAATTTATGAGCAAATGGCATCCTTGCGATAAAACTTTGTAGACACTTTGTTTATCCTTGTTCTGTGTGCTTATCTTGGCATTTGGTTATACTAGCATTAGTATAGGTAATTCGCGGTTTTCGTGAACGACAGAAATTCAACAAAAAACAAATAAACATTTGTATATATACTTACCAAATACATTATTTGCAATTTTACGCAACCCTTTGGCACTTGTTTTTATTATAAATATTTAGGGAATATATTACATACAAATGCAATTGCAATGTCCGACATAAGTTACAAGTCCAAAACTGCCACAAATATAGCTAATTGTGCCAACTGCTTCACCAATTTCTTAAACAATTTATTGGGTCAAAAATTGGTAAAAGTAAAAGAGGTTTTAAGAATATGGCAGATGCAAATTTATTAAAAACACCAAAAGACTGTAAAATAAAAGTAGTAGTGTTTAGTGCCTTTAAATTATCTAAAGTGTAAAATAGTACAAGAAAACTCAAACAAGCGATGTCACTGTGATACAATACTACACACATACAATTGAAAATTAAATTTTCAACAGTATGCAAGTTGTTTTTTTTTTTGTTGCTGGAAATTATTTATGGCTAGACATATACACATTTACAGAGCCTCCATAAAAGATTACAAGCCACATGACCACCAAGGTTAGGCAACCAACATTGCACGACTGGTACTGGTATATAAAAAACTCTAAGTCTTAGCATCACAAATATAATGATTCGTTTACAGTGAACAAAGACAAACTGTTACCTCTATATAATGCGATCGCTGATTGGTTAAACACAGAATGTTGTAATTTAATGTAAATCTTGATTTTATTATCATAATTTAATTGCCAACTTGAAGGAAATAAAATTACCGTTACAAACAAAATGACTGGTCACGTGACTTGTTATCATTTATGAAGCCTCTGTATTTTAATTTTCACAGATATATAATGCTTTAAAATAGTGGATGTTTTGCTGTTCTCTAAGAAACCATTAATCACATTGCAGTTTTACAGAATAATAACAAAATTCAGTGATTATTATAGGCTAGTATAGAGCACAGGTTTTTCAATATTTAAATATCCTTCACCATTTTACAAAATTTTAATATTCTAATAAAATAAAATCTTAGATAAAATGCTTGTTTTATTCCAACTAAGAAAATACAAGTTTTTCTACACAAGTCACCAGTACCACTGTGAGATTTTATACAGGATGTTACAAATTAAATTGGCACTATTGCTAACTATTATTATTATATTATAAATATAAAGTAGGTTATGTTGCAAAAGTTGTAATTTTTCTACAAATTACAGTGTACTAAATCTAGAAACAATTGAAAATCACAAAGATATGTATCAAAATGACAGCTCTTTATATGTAACTTTGGTTATTTTATATCCAATGCAACAAAGTCATAAAAATTGCAACTTATTTCTAAACACCCTGTTATTCTTCATGAATGATGAACTTAATTATCCAAGGAATAAAAGTAGTACAATATTATGAAACATGTCATGGCATACTGTATGTTACTTGCGGGGATAACATAATTACCAGAACTCACTACCTCTCCATTATAATATGTTTCCACCCACTTATTAATGTGGTGAATCTGAATCAGTCGAGCCTCTTTCACAGATTCGGGATCGTTTTCATTGCCAGCTCTTAACTCAGAATGGTGGGCTCCCTCGGATATAACAATCGCTACAATATTTGGTGTAACGTTTGTTAGAACCCCATAACCAGACCAAGGATCGTAAAGTCCGTTGCTGAATATAATATTGTTGGCAGTGCTCAGGTCTTTGTCTCCGTATTGTAAAATGGGAACATCCTCGTCGCGAGGACGAACACCATATTTGTTGTAGCACCAATCGGAGAACTCTTCGAAATTGTACTCAGTAGTTTCAAACATGTCTGAGTCTCCAGAACAGAATGGCATTATCATCTCAGTACATTCCTAAAATCGATTAAAGGTAAAATCCTTTAAATTTCAATATTCAATTTTTTTTATACGGGATATTAAAAAAAATAGATGAATAATTTAGATGTCTCTTTTCCAGTACTACAGTCCTAAAATTAAAATTTAATCATCGTAAGATATAAATGTGACTTGTCTTTTGTGTACTTAGAAAGGCAATAATTTTTTCATTGTATTTTATGCACTTTTAATGTAAACGTAATTTCTTTCATTTCACATATAGTTCTTAATAAACATCAAGTATATGGTTTATACAGGGTGTTAGAAGTTTGACTGCCTTAATTTTAACAGACGATAGAATACATTAAAATAAACAAAAAACCTTGTATGACATGGGTCCAAAACCCAATTATTTCCGAGAAAAAAATTATCAAAATCTCCAACTTGATGTACAAAAGTTCGATTACCTAATTATGGAATATTGACATAACTGCTTGCATAGAATACCATAAAATATATTTTATCACTTTTTTGAACTTTTTTATGCTTAATTCTAAAAAATAATTAGCGTTGTAATAAATTTAAAATTCGATAAAATTCATATCGAGCAATATGACAACGGCGCGGCGGATAACACGAGGTACTAAGTTGTCCAGCAATACGCAATTCAGTTGTTGTTGGTATCTGGAATTGGACTGTGTCGGAGTCTCTTTTGCATACCACTATTGCCTTTTCTTGAGGTGTTTTCAAGCGGATGCGCGAAAATTGGATTCGAAGGTGTCGTGTGTGCATCGAAAATGGTGGTGGACATTTTGAACATATATTGTAGTTTGTTTTGTACTTGTGCGTTTAAAAATTACTGAATTTTGCTTTTTAGTAAATCCCTAAATTATTTTTATTAGGTATGATTATTTGGACGACGTGAATCTTTGGGTACTTAAATTAGATATTTTATTACTATATACTACAAAATCGATACATTATTTTATTTATTTCAAAACTGGAAAACAATTGTCTTAAAATTTACTAAATGTTTCACAATAATAGTTGTTTACATTTTTTCCATAGGACAAGTCTGTTGCGTGCACACGTGGTGTGCATCAGCTGTGTAGCGCTGTTGTCACGTTGTGATAAAACTCCCCAATATTAATACTTGCTGTATTTGAAAACTGTTAATTTTACGTTCCTGCAAGATACATTCATTTATGATTACTCTATCTCATGCTAAAGTTATGGCAGTCATACTTCTTACACCCTGTATACAGGGCGGTTCAGGTTTTAAGGTGGAAACTTCACCAGATGATAGAGCAAATTATTTTTCGAGTAAAGTTTCATATAAATATGGATTACAGTACGCTTCGTTTTGATTTTGAGATGTAGTGTCTTAAAATTAGAAAAAAAATCTCATTTTCTAAAATATCTCTGAAGACATTATGACATATGAAACTTAGGCCACTCATTTATTTAAAAAAAGCATTCATCATTGTAAATTTAGCCCATATTAAATTATACTAAAATATAAAAAAATAAAATATAAAATTAGAAATACTCCAAAAAAAATAGCAACATATTTAAAATTATTGGAAGCAGAGAGCTACACTGATCATTGCTTCCAAAAATCATCTACTACACTAGCTGATTTTGGAGCTGATTTTGCCAGTCTTAAAAGACATGGGAGCTGGAAGTGTTCCACTGTTACATTGGGATAGATTGGGATTGAGAAGAAAATTAAAATTTCTAATAATATCTGGTGCGTCTTCAATAATTACCCAGTGCCTTAACCAAGAAACTATTGCAGTGAGCAACTTACTATCCTCGAGTGGAGTAAGTTTCCACAATTGTGCAATTAAGACTTTCAATTGATTGTTAATTAAATTGATTATTAATGAATGGCTGTTTTTGTTGATAATAATAAATAAACTGGTGAACTGATTCTATCTATAATTTAATTTATTTTTGCAGGTGGTTGTAAAAGACTTTTACGTTTTGTAGACAAAAAACTGTTATTTTGACACTTAATAAATACCTATCGTAAAAGTCAACTTTTAATAACAGTTTTCGAAAAAAAGCATTTTTTTTAATTTCAATTTTGACATTTGGCAGAAGGAAAATAAGATTATTTTCACATAAAAAAATTAGTTGACCTACTTTTCTGCAGAGTATCCTATTTAATTCAATTTAATTCAGTTTAATTTTTAAGATTGTCAATTCATTTTTTTGTCATTATCATACCTGAAAGTACCATCCCGTCTCTCCTAATTGCGCGGATGTCGATTCAAGTTGATTACATTCAGTAGTACCTGTATAATTGGTATAAACCTGCAAGGCTTCACCGATTGCTGTTAAGAGACCTATGTCGTCATCAAACTCTAGATCATCAATTTTGTTGCAAAATTCTTTAACAGGATTCGCCGGCAGTGGTACTAGAAAGCTTGTAGGGTAAGGATAATTTGTTTCAGCAAGTGCCGCATATATGTTTGATAACCAACTGACTAATGTGCTGATTTCATCGTCAGTTTCAAATACGGTGCAAAAGTTCCATAATTCGGCAAGTTCTGACTTTCCTGTTGCATTTTGTGTGTATGATCTAAAATAAATGCAAAATGGTATTAGACAAGTTTAAAAAAGAATGGAAAACCGTGATATTATTTAATGTACAGAGTACAAGTCGGAGATTATTTTTGTCACAAGTAAAAAAGTAAATGTGGTTTTACTTCTGTTTGTTATTTTGTCTTTTTATATACAAATGTACCTCTTTTGTAGATACTTTACTTATAGTAATATAGGTAAATTTACAATAAAAAGTTTGTAGGTAAGTATAGGTATTCAAAAATATAGGTCGGTAAAGATTGTGGGTGTCCCTAAAATATATGTGTCAACTAGCCACTATACAGGGTGTTAGTAAATAAGTGCGACAAATTTCAGGGGGTGATTCTACATCAGAAAATAATGGCAGTTTGCTTATAAACGTATGTCCGCAAATGATTCGTTTTCCGAGATATGGCGTGTCAAAGTTTTTCTTAAAAACTGACGATTTAATTTATTGCTCTGAAACCGGTCGAGATGTGCAATGAAATTTGGTGGGTTGATCACCGCTCAATTTTTTTTTATATGTAAGTTTATGGCTACCTAAATTACATCTACTAATACAAAATTTATAAAATAATTGATAAAAATGTTTTGTCTGTTGCAAAATTTAAATCCGTTATGGATTATGAAACAGCAAAATTTAAGTTAGGTAAGTTGAAAAAATATGGAATGTGAAAAATTATGTTCTAATATTAGGAGTTATTCTATACACAAAAATAAGAAAAAAGTTTATATAAATATACTTCTTAAAGTACTACAACTATTAGAGAGCAGTTTAATATAAACTGTTTTTATTTTTAGGTTTTATAGGTATAGAATAGAATTTTTGAACATCTTGTATTTGAATACATTTTAATATTGAAGATTTTGTCGTCTTACTCATAATCCATGAGATATTTAATAACTCATCCCTAGCTAAAAAATTTTAGTCATATGAAAACGAGTTGTTTTACATTAAAAGGACTAAGGACTTTTAGATAAAAATTTATTTTGAACTCAAAAATCTGCATCAGTAACTCATTGGTAGATACATTATTTAATTCATATACAACTCACTCAATTGAATTATATTTTCAAAAGAGATAAGAATTAAGAATTAATGAAGACAAAATTTGAATTTTTTATTTTCAATCTATAACAAAAATTATCTCTACAAAGGTGTAGATTGACCTTTCTAATTAATTCTTTTTAAACTCCTAATTTTCATAAATTCTGATTTTGTCAAATTATATAAATATTGTATAGGTTGTCCACTGGGAACCAACAAAATCAATTTCACGAAATGCACATATAGGAAACAGTGTGGCATATTTTAAATATTTACTGAAAACAGAAAAATAGTAGAACATTCTTCCTACTTCTTCCTTTTGTTTTTTTTTTATTTAGAGAAAATTGGTAATGCTGTTTTAGGAAATTTTCTTGAAATCTTAGATAAATAGATAAAAAAACAATTGACTGTGTCAAAGCAATAAACTTCAGGACACCTAGACAATTGGGACACCCTGTAGACTAGAACGTAACGTATTATTAAAAGTATTTTTATATTGCAAGCATTTTAGAAAGAGATTAATTTTATTTTTAATAAGTAATAGGAAATTCCCACAGATTCTAATAAATTGCTTATCTAATAAAATAAAATATCTAGTAAAACGCTTACAGTCAAACTCTCTAAGAAAATCAAGTAAAAGAGTTCAGTAGGCAGATACTAAATCTGCAAGTGGAACTTACAACAATTTTGTTCATATATTAAAGTGGTCCTCATATCTAGAAATTGTGCTAAAAAAGACACAATTTTGGAAAAAATGGACTTGACACACTCATTTTGGCATACAGTTATTTGAAGGGTTTAATATGTGACTTAAGAGCTACCAATCGTCAAGTTACTGGCCAAAGTTTCTGTGAGTTGCCAATTTAACCAATAGTATTTGATATCTGATGCCAAGTATGTTTTTGCTTTGTTTTCTTAGAGTACACATCCTGTATTCTCTATGATACTCACCGAATAATTTCCCATGACTCTTCAATAGTAGTGACACACTTCTCGCTACCGAGAATTCTGAAGTCTTCTGTAACAATTTTATAAAACTCATCACATGGATTTTGATCTTTAAACATCCAAATCGGTGCCGAACTAGCTACAGCTCCTATAATCGAATTTGGATATTTCATTTTTAGCCAAGCAGCCAACATCCCTCCATATGATCCACCAAATGCTACTGCTGGTAACTTTTTCGCGTCGTCATCTGTGGCATATAATTTTTGCAACTCATTTATTAAGTACACAAAATCGGCCAGAGCTTGAGATGAACTTAAATAGCCCATGTATTCAGGGGAAGAATACGATAGGTTGCCGAAAGGCAGAGATTCGCCATAATATCTAAAAAAGAGAGGTAAACAATTATAATAACAGATAACACAAAATAATAAAGGCTGATTTCACATAGAACGTCATGCTCTGACTATGGCCATACTGCGTCATTCAATTTTAAGAGAAACTGACAAGAGGAAATTTTTGTGCAAAATCCACAGATCATTCATAAATGCAGCTGCCCTAAGGGATCCATTGGCAGAGAATATAGTTACATAGGGGCACCCACACTTCCCTTCGTACAACGCTGCAGTTAAGAAAATATTTGAAAATGATTTTTACTGCTTCCCCTCCCATATAATGTGTGTGAGTTTGGGAAGTGAAGTAGGTATTTGGGGGTTATTTTGGATGATAAATTGGGTTTTCAGAAGCATTGAATTACATTTTGAATAAGGTCTCAAATAAAGTATACCTGAAAGTTAAAATAAGAGTTAAATAGAATAATTAATACAGCATTGATTGGTCCCCATGTGGATTATTGTTCAACAATTTTATTTAGTTTATGTCAAGGTAAAATTTAAAAATTACTGAATAAGCTATGTGTACTATATTGAAGTGTAATCGTTATACACCAATAAAGCAAATGATGGAGGTGTTAAATTTTATGAACATAAAGTAAAGATTTTCAGGACTTTAAATATGGTATGTAAAATAAAAAATCAGGCAACTGCTAAATATTTGTGTAATAAGGTGCAATATGTGAATAAAATTAATTCGTATATAACACAAGGAGATATGGAGATTTTTTTATTAGAACTGCTAGATGGGGCGCTGAATAGAACAATTTTGTATATGTATAATACACTGCCAGATGTAGTAATTATGTTAAAGAAATATGTTTTTGAGGTATTTTGGTAACTTATTTTAGAAAATAAAGATTATTATTATTATTACTAAATTTTAAGAAGATATCATATCGGTTTGCAGATATAATAATGAAAACCAAATTCAAAAGTAATGTTTAAAGAAAAGGTTTTTGTTCATTTACTGTTTTATCCATTGTAGTTTAAAATTTTTATTTTTTAAATGTTAGGTATTTCCAATTTTTTTCAAAATTTTTACAAAATTTTAAAAATGCTAATAAAATAAAATGTCCAGAAATTTTCTGAATGAATATATGGACAGGGACTGATCCAGAGATGGACTTTAGGAATTGAAAATAATGGAAAAATGGAAAAAATACATTGTAGCTGTTTTATTTTCTATTGCAAAAAAACCTGTCAATATCTAAAAAAAATTCTAAAATATATACCCAAAAAAAGCAAATAGATAAAGAGTCATATGTTTCATTGTATTTGTATAATTTGAAAATAAAAAATTTTTCCTATTTAAATATTTTTGTTTGCATCAATTCATTCATTTACATACAGTGTAGGTACTTTATATTTGAAATGATATTGTTTATATTGTGTATATCAAACATATACAGGGTAGGATAATTTAACAAGGTATGGTTGATAGTGAAAACTGACCTTCATGAAAGTTATAAAGTTCAAAGGAGGCCAGTTGAAGATGGCCTTAATTTAATCTTGAATCGAGGTCATTTTAAGGTCAACTTTATTTTTCTTAAAAGAAATTCTTATTTTCGACCACAAATATGGAAAGAGCAGAAATTTCAGAGTTCATGGAGATGGTTTTTACTCACTGGTCAAAATTACTTTCTGAGGTCATTATAGTAATAGAGTCAATCTCCTACCTTTAGAAACAATGGACATAGTACTGATGTTTCTTTTAGAGTGCTTAATTAGAGTGAGTCCCCTTGCCCTCTCACTTTTTGTAGTGCTGAATTAATGAGTACTCTTCCCTCTCACTCCTAGAGGTGCTTAGAGGTTGTCTCTCAAAGAATGAAAGAAACTGCTCAATTGCTGAATACGTAAACTAATTCTCCACTGAAAACTGAATTGTTCTTAATAATATTGCCCCTGGGATTCTGGAATTTGAAGAAACTGAATAAATACCAGCAGTAACATAAAGGTAGGAAATACATTTTCATAACACTTGAGGATTGACTTTTCCTGAAATGACTGAAGGTAATTTTGATGTATGCGAGAACTTCTGTCTGAATGTGAAATTTCCTGTTTCTTTTTGGATTCACAATAAAAAATGAGACTATTATAACAAAGTTAACCATCAAATAATAACCTTGAAAATCGATTTAAAGTCAAGTTTAAGGTCATTTTCAGTTGGCCCTCTTTGAACCCTACAACTTTTGTGATGGTCAATTTTCCCTACCAACCATATGTTCGGTGTAATTTGGGTGGTTATATTAAAAAGGCCCACCCTGTATACCATAGTGAAATGTTATTCATCTGAACACTTGCAAAATGTGATTTAGGTTGGTTCTGTAATAAGTAATTTTATTCTTTTAATTGAAGAATCTGTGGTTGCGGTATGACTATTGTTTTCTGGAATTTTAAATCGACTTACCTGTGTTCAGCAAAAATAATCAGAGCATTAAACTCAGGCGCAATATCGAATATAAAACCAGAATTTTGGGCAAACATTTCAATATCTCCTTCATTCCCTGCATAGATAAATATTGTTCCATTTGGTCCAAAAAAGGTATCATTCACCAGATACTTTAATGTGAAAGTGGTATTTTCTCTAAAGCTAAAATAGAAAATATAATTTAAATTTATTATAATTTAAACTTTACCTCTCACTACTTACTTAAAGTGATCTAGTGGAATATCAATATATTTTGTTTCAAAGGTGTATTCCGCATCTTGGGCTAAGACGATGGGAAGTAAAAGGAAGCTAAGGAACAACATCCTTTCCAATCTGCTTTATTTTTTCTTCTGCCTTGATTTTATAAATACATTCTGATATATCTCTAATAAAAAGGTTTATCAAATCAGATGCTGCGATATAACTTTGATTTAAAAGGATTTTATGATTTTACAACGTAATGCAATATATCTAGATTTAAAGTATGTACTTAAAAGAATTAGGTACTTATTTGTTTTGTTCTTTTATATTCAAATGTATTTCTTATGTACATAGATACTTATTGCTAATATGTATAATGAAAGTAAGGAATTTGAAGATATATTTAAAACTACACTCCATCAGAATTGTATGTATTCACATGACTGATAAAACTACTCAAAAAATGGACAATACAAAAAAAAACAGAATTTATGAAGATAAAATCCTTACAACTTATACTAATCTCAAATGTGATTTTTTATATTTAACATTTATTTAATTTCAAGGCAAATTATTTAATTTATTCGTTTTCAAAGAAATATACTTATTACTTATATCGTGCCCTTTATGTTATATTTATAAGAATTGCAGTGCCTCTTTAAAATACACAACTAACATTACAGAAATATAAAGTGCAATTTTAATTTTTTGGAAAATAACTCGATGAATTCCTTATGAATATATATAAACTGCAATATTAATTAATATATGTTTAGAAGAATATGAGGGCAGCAATATGTTTTTGTATTTGTTATCAACAGATTTTTTATTAATCTGATAGAGTTTAAATCTTTCTTAATCCCAATTTAAGAACAGTGAAATCAGATATACAGTTTATAGCCTGACATATTTAAGTAATGTAAATAAGATTCATAATCAAAGGTATAAATAAGTATAAAATTTTGCATTAGAAATATAAAAAAGAGAGAAACAGTTATTCCACATATTATGCAACACTATAAGAGGCAATCATCGTTACAATATAGACTTGTAATTAAACGCTGAGTATTTTAACGTATTTCCAAAAAAAAATAATTTTGATTGTATGCATTTGTGAAGTACATTATAATAAATATTTAATGAATTTGTGCTCATTAAAATACTAACAATTAATTCGGTATTTTTATTTTACTTGGTTGATAAAACATGCTTATACATTTACCAATTTTTCAACCAATAAATTAATCAAGAAATTAGCTAATTTATATTGACGGGCATAAAACAAATATTGATAGAATTTGCCAGCTTTAAAAAATGGACAGGAAATTGAAAACGAAAAATTCCATTCAAATTCATTGTCCAATTTTGAGGCTTTTTAGACATATGATTTTTATTCAGTAGTACCAATGCTGGTTACATTAAAAACCGTTGGTTGCCTTCTACAATTTTGCCACACTTTTTGACTTATATCACAGGTTTATGTTTAAATTAAATATTTTATCCTAGATTCTAAAATAGCGTTATATATTTGAACATCGACTTGAATTAAACAAATATCATTATATTAATCAGTAACTTTTCCTGTAAAGAAATGTATAACATAATAACACGTTTAAAACATTTATTGTAAATAAATAGCTTGCTGGAAATTTTATATTGGAAGTAGATATATTTTATTTTTAGTGGTTTTTATTCTGAAAGTTGTGAGCTTTACGATTTACCTATAAATTAATCAATAAATTGCTAACACAAATGACCCCGCACTTTTCTTATGGGAAGTGACTTTCGGCCAATTTTTTTGAAACTTCACAAGTTGATAGTTCTTAACATGTAGATTAAAAGTCTCAATGGGCACAAAGCCCCAAATCCACCTCTTCCCCCCAAAAAAAGCCCCCAAAGAACCGGGAAGTTAACTGGCAGTTTAAGAAAAAAAGATTCAAAAAAAGTGGTTAATTCAAAGAAAACAAAAAAAAAAATATTCTAGTTTTTTTCGAAAAATCAATGTTTTAGCTTTAAAACGCCACCAAAATTTAACACCGAGTATACGTATGATTGCTATAGATATACACGTGTGTTAAGTTTAACAGCGTTTTACAGCTTGAATATTACTTTTTCGAAAAAAACAAACTTTTATTTAGAATTTGTCAAAATAAATAACTTTTAATTGAAATATTTTTTCATGAAATGACAAATAAACTTTCTACAGCTATATAAACAATTAAATTGTTAATAACAATTAACCCGATTTCACAAAATTGAGTTACAGATTTGAATTCAGTTAAAAAATATGTGCAAAAAATAAACGTGCAAAAAATTTGTGCAACTATAAAATACAGTAATCTGGAAAATCCGTAGGCTGATTCGTGGTGGGCAGGGTTAAGTGGGGTAGTTTGATAGTCAAAAATGTGATTGTTTGGGGTCGTTGTTGGGTTGATTAAAAAAATAAATTGGTTTACATGCAGAAATCAGTTAAATCCCCCCGCTACTTGGAGGCAGTTTGGGGGGGGGAGGGGTGGATTTGGGACTTTGTGCCCATTGAGACTTTTGATCTACATGTTAAGAACTATCAGCCTGCGAAGTTTCAAAAAAATTGGCCGAAAGCCACTTCCCATAAGAAAAATGAGGGGTCCTTTAGGGGAAAAATAAATATGTATATGGAAAACAGGTTCAATAATGTATGTCCAGTATATTATATATAGAGTGATTCAGGTTTAATCTGGATAACTTCAGGAATCGATATAACAGGTTAAAATAATGTTCATTCACGATATAAATTGCATCGTTTCGTAGATAGAAGGCGTTGATGTAGGAATTTTTTCCCTTTTCTTAGCACTAAAAATACTTTTGAAATACTACTTTTAACAATAATTTTCACAAACGTAAGTTTATACAAATCATTGTGAGTTATGTTTTTCAAGGATTTCTATAACGTTAAATGAAATTTATGCTGCTGGGGCACTACACTGTTACGGATTTCATTGAATACCTCAGAAACAAGGCCAAATATCGAAAAAAATACCAGAGACGAAAAAATTTCAAAATTAATTAGACAAAAGTGGTGTGCAGCTGTTTTATTGAAATTAATTTTTTTGAAATAATCTAAGAGGGGTAGGTGGTTCAAATTTAAGAAGCTTATGTAAGATCATAAGGAGTGTTTGTGTTCCAAATTTCACCTCAATCGGACGAGTGGTTAAAAAGTTATGAGGGAAAAGTTGGAAAAACAATTCTATTTCAATCTCTGAAATGATGCGATTTAGGAAATAAGTTTATATCATGAATGAATATTATTTTAACCTGTTCTATCGATTCCTGAAGTTATCCAGATTAAACCTGAATCACCCTGTATAAATGCACAATAGTATTAATTTGTGATCAGGTATTCTGAAAAATAGACTGCAGTTATGTGATAGTAAAATATATAATTATATTAAATACATAATGTAACTAAACTAAACCTAAACTGAGTTAACATAAGCTAATCTAATATTTATCAATCGCTTTTCAAAATACCTAATTAATATTATTAATCTAGCAAAAAAACATAAGAATCCAAACAATATCAAGAATAAACTGCTCAAACAAATCGATAGAAATAATATGTTCAAAAGTAAATATCTATTTTAAATATATTTACATTTGTTTTCTGGGATACAGAAACAACTGCTTCATTGATGATTGTGACGTGACTAACAGAGAATTATATATTTATGTCACATTACATAATTTAATTTTTAGTTAACATTAAATTAAAGATTTGTATACAAAGTAGTTATGCATAATGATTTAAGTAATAACTTCCTTAATTAAGTTTTAGCATGTCATAGCAAAATTTATTTATTTTTATATTCACCACATACACTCATACAATTTGAGTGTTCTACTCCCGAGTGTTCTATCATTAAAACCACTACATTTTATTAACAAACAGTACATCTTATATAAAAATTCAAAACCAAATTAGTCCTTCAAGAATAATAATAAAGTTTCGACATCACTACATAACAGCATTTGCAAGATCGGCAGATTGCTTTTTGAAAGGATAGCACAGTTTAGTTTTACTAGTATTTTCATACATGGTCACTTGATTTTGCTGCTAATTAAGGATGGAATGCCCTTACAAATGAACCAAATCCTAGGAAGTGTGTCAGATGTGATTATTACTGATAAATTAATTAACGATTTTAGTGGTCATTTGTTAATCTTTAAGGTTGCTATTGTTGTGAGGGCTGACGGTGGGGAACCATTAGTTCTCTGTTCACCCATAAAATATCATTAGTATCCAAATATCACCTGTAAAATATTGTTTCCAGTAATAATAAACATGTAGTGTCACATCTTCACTATAGAGTTTTATTGCGATGGAGTCTGATGAATACCTTAACACCCAGCCACTCTGTAGTTATCAGTATACAAAGTGTCATCATTCAGAGTTTGACAGAACATAGTAAGATATTTTCATATAGACCGTCTTTTGCTTTTTTTGAGATACTGGGCGTCAAATAAAAACAATGAAATTTGAAACAAGCATGTTTTTGCAGATTCTAAATACGTCAGTTTTTTAACATCTACTAGAGGTCGCTAGTTGTGATCTTTTCCAGTAACATTTTATAAATTTTTTATCGTTACTACTGGTTTTCAATTTTTTAAAGATATGTCAGAGTATTACAGTGTATGTGTACAAAGTATTGGCTATCCCACAGTATTACGTTATCTTAGTACAATTTTGCTTACTTAAAAAGTTATGTTACTAAATATTAGTTCGTTAAATTGTAATTAAAAACAGGATAATAATTTAAAAAACAAACAAAATTATACTAAGGCGATCTAAATCGGATTATTTTTTTCCAAGAAAACTACCGTTGAGGTATAGCCCTTTCACTTCTAGACACCCTGTATATTAAAGGACAGAATAAGCTGTATGACTTTGAGACAGTCGATAGCTTTTTTCTTAAAAATAATGCGTTTCCAGCAATACAAACACAATTTTATGTAAAATTAAAATTTATATGGCATACGCCGTAAAGAACCTAACCTCGAAAAAGTTACATCATATAAGCCGTTTTTTTTTATTCATGATTTCGGAATCATAACATTGCTACGATCCGATGGAAACCAATCAGGTTGCTAGATTTCAATCGTAACGCATTATGATTCTGAAATCATGAATAAAAGAAGAGTTATGTTAAAAGGAAAAGTTGCAGTTAATGATCGACATCTGGCAGATGGTAAAAAATTAACGACTTGACATTTTTAACACCCCCAAAAACTTATCTATATCAAATTAAATGCATTTCATGGAGTTTGAAAAAGATACGGCTAAAATTTTATTTAAAAAAAAAATCATCTTTGATGCCCTGTATTTCAAAAACAAAAGATGATAGACTTATAAGCTCTTTTCTTTTATTCGTGATTTCAGAATTATGACATGCTACGATCCGAAATCTAGCAGCCTGATTGGTTTCCATCGGATCGTAACGTGTTATGATTCCAAAATCATGAATAAAAGAAAAGGGTACATTTTTCTAAAATACCATGTATACAATTTAAAATTGTACATATTTATGGTAACTTTCATGAGCATGTCAATCTAAATAAATACTTCATTAATTAAGTTTTAGTCAAACAATTAAAAACGTATTTTATTTTTATTCACCACATTAACTTTAATACAATTAATGTTCTTCTTAAAACAGAGTGCTATTAGTAAAAGCAAAATACTCAGTAATGTCACATCTTATATAAAAATCCAGTCATATTTAGTCCTTTAACAACATAAATCAACTATTATATATTTCACATACACAACTAAAATAATTCACCCAAATAAATGTCTATGCAGTTTTTAGCATGTAGATATAACATGCGAGGGACCATTTTTTTATGTTTTATACATAGTGAAAATGTGTCCCTTAATGTTAACGCAGTTGACTTAATTCAATAATACCCAGGAAACAACTTGTCTTTGATTAAATTAACATAATAGTTTCACCCTAGATTTTATTATCTCAATCTAGCTGATCTTCATTTTCGTTTTTGTTAACATTTTTTTTAGCCCTGCGAAATGATCTCTTTTGAGTCTGTTTCTTACTCCCTGCAAGTTGGCCTTGTTTTCGCATTGCATGAAGTTTAAAATTTTTGGCTTTAATTTCCTTTTTCTTGTCCTCCCCTTTCTTTTTACCACCTTGCGTGTATAAGACATTAATCCGACGGCCTTTAAGCAAAGTGTGATGCATTGACAAGCATTTCTGAAAATATTAATTATGTAAAGAAGACAAATTGTTCTGTTTTGATAAACTGTAATTAAATTAAATAATGAATTTTTACCTGATATGTTTCTTCATCAGATAATTCTACATATGCAAAACCTCTAGGTTTGGAAGTTTTCTTTTCTGTTGGTATTCTAACATGTTTAATCTCCCCAGATTTCTTAAAATGCTCGATTAAATCTTGTTTATTAGTTTCATATGGAATATTTCCAACAAATAAGACAAATCTCTTTTGATTTTTAACAACTAAATTGTTTTCTTTCAGTTGCTCCAAATCAACAGTTTTTGTATTGTTCGATTCTTTTTCGTTGCTGATGGCTATTTTCTGTTTCTTGTTTGAAGATACACCTGTTGAACCACTATTTCTTTTGATCTAGAAAATAAAATAATAAAATACATTTATAAAACACAAGATTATTATTTTAAATTGACAGCAGTTCATTCCGCATCTCAGTAACAATTTTGGAAAAAATTGCATCAGCTGGATTATAAAAATGTGTATTATTCACAAAAATAAGCAACCAAGAGATAGCACTATGTTTATTTTCAGTTCATAGACAAAACAACTAATAATTTTTAATTAAGTACCTTGTTTTGTTATTGCATTTTATGTTATGAAGCTTGCTTCAGGTGTTAGTAACTTCTTTCAGATATTTTAATAAACACTTTTGTATCTAATATATGTTAATTTATATAAACTTATAACATTAAAAAAATTATTAAAAACAAATTAAAAACCTTTAGTGACTGTATTTTCTTAAAGCCAAGCTTCTAATATGTTAGATTAAAGCCCAGTACTTGAGTCTCGGTTATTAAGGCTTGATTAACTAATCAGGCGATTAGACTGTGATTATACTTTATAAAAAAAAAATGTGCATATGTGCAGCCTAATCGCCTGATCAGTTAAGCAAGCTTTAACCGAGACTCAAAGTACTGGGCTTAAATGTGAATGCTGAAATAAAATTTTTGAAAGGTATGGTGCTAAGTGAATTCAAGAAAAATACATATTTCCATTCAACCAAAATTCACCTATTTCGCTGTTACAAAGGAAAATTTGTATTTTTTAAAGTAAAAACAAACACAGTGGAAACTTATTCTGGACCACCGCTGTACAGGGTTTTTTGTAACGAATGAACCATACCGTAAGGAGAGGTTCCTGGGGTCAGAATTGGTCAGCCTAACCCAACTTGCCTTAGTGTGAAAGTTAATAACAAACATACGGGGAGTCAAATTAAGAAATTAAAATTTACAAAACAATGACTAAATACACAGGCACACAAAAAAAATTTTAAGACCCCCTACCCCTCCGTTTTTGGGGTCGCTGAAACCTAATGCCACTAAGAATAAAGAAGACTACCAAAAATAAATTAGACCCCCTCGTTACCCTCTAGCGTGTCTTTACCACCCCCGTACACCCCTTTCTGGAAGTTGAAATGTCAATTCTCATACAAAGTCGAGTAGGGTGGCTTTGTTTTCTGGGCCACTAAGAACGAAGAAGTGTACACCAAAAATGAATAAGACCCTCTCGTTACCCCCTAGTGACATTTTACCACCCCCATACACCCCTTTATGGCTGTTGAAGTGACAATTTTTATACAAAGTCGAGTGGGTTGTGTATGCCTATGTTTTCTAGGCACAAATGTGGGTGGCAAAGGGTGCTGAGGGTTGACGAGGGGGTTTGATTCATTTTCACTAGTCTTCTTTGTTTTCAGCAGACTAGAAAATGTAGGCATACATAACCCACTCGACTTTGTATGAAAATTAACACTTCAACCCCCATAAGGGATGTATGGAGATGGTAAAGTGACGCTAGGGGGTAACGAGGGGTCTAATTCATTTTTGGTAGTCTTCTTCGTTCTTAGTGGCCCAGAAAACATAGGAATACACACCCTACTCGACTTTGTATGATAATTGACATTTCAACTCCCAGAAGAGGGTGTATGGGGGAGGTAACTGGGAAATGGCTAGTTAAATATTCGGTTTCAGCAACCCCAAAAACGGAGGCGTAGAGGGGACTACCCTCTGCGTCGTGACATTTTTTAATTTTTGTGTGTCTGTGATATCAATTAAAACTAAGGGTAAAAAAAATATTGGTATTAATGCATAGAAAAAAATTCATATTTAATGCTAATTTTAATAGATCTATAAAATGACAATTCTCCAGTTTCACCTACTTAATATTATATCGTCTCCATTTATTCATAAGATTCATTATATCCAACATTCCAGATTATAAACAACTATTTTTGGTCCACAAAATTTTACTTATTAATTACAAAATAGTAAAGATTATTTGTGTGGGTAAATCAAATTAGAATTTTTCAACATTTCTGGGTAGGTTCTTCCCAACATAAATTTTTCTTCCACATGAACCATTAAATATCATTTATACAGAATAAAAAGAAAGTTATTTAAAATTAGTTACGCAATGCCGACAAGAAACGGATGAGTATTATATTTTTATTTAAAGTATACCTTCTTCCTAAACTTTATAATAATAAGTTCATTCAATTTAAAACATAAAAATTGATTTGTCATATGAAAATACAACCATATTTAAGCTAAGATAATAACATTTTAAAGTATATTATATTATAAATACCACCAACATTCACTGTGTAATTCTTCTTTTGCCACTAACCCTTGGGGGTGGGGAACTATCTTCATCTGCCTCATCAGGTTCCTCTTCTTCATCTTCATCAGACTCCTCTTCTTCATCTTCATCAGACTCCTCTTCTTCATCTTCATCAGACTCCTCTTCTTCATCTTCATCAGACCCTTCTCCTTCGTCTTCCTCAGACTCCTCCTGTTCATCGTCTTCATCAGACTCCCCCTGTTCATTGTCATCAGTTGATTCTTCTACATTTTCATAAAACTCCTCTTTTTCATCATCAGATTCCTCCAGTTCATCCTCATCATCTGACTCCTCCTCTTCTGTGTTTGTTTGACCTTCATCAGATTCACTGCAATCTTTTTCTTCCTCTCCAGAATCTTCGGTGTCTGATTCATTTTCATCGCCTGATTCATCATCTTCATCTTCCATTTGCTCCTGGACAATCAGAGGAACCCCATTATTTTTCAATTGGTTTGTTTTATAAATTTCTCGATTACATAGAACTTATCTGTACTTGGTCTAATTTCAATAAACACTTACTTAAATAAAAGGAATTACGATCAACTGAATAAAACTTTAACTAAAATTCTGCAAAGAACTACAAATCTCTACAATTGCTACAAAGTTGCTCTTGTCTAAATTTTTAAAACATTAAACTACTAAACAGGGCTACAAAAAAAACAGAAAAATAATGTAAGTGTGAGTGAATCATTATGAAGCATTTCAAGATTTGCAGGTTAGTCTTTTCCAATATATGTAAATGTTCATAACATCAACTGTTAAATACTACTGATATAAGTGATATAGAATCGGATGGAAGTTGTTTGAAAATAGTAGCAAAATGCTGACAAGAAATTAATCGATATTAAAAATATTTTTATTTAACGTATGCTTTCTTTTTAAAGTTTAGTTTGAAATAGTCCAAATAAATTCATCCAATTTGAAATATAAAATTTATCTTATACATTTTACTTGTGTTCAGAATTCAGCATTTGTTTCTTCCTTTGTTACTAACCTTTGGAGGTAGGGGACTATCTTCCTCTTCAAGAGACTCCTCTTCATCAGATTCACTACCATCTTCTTCTTCCTCTCCAGATTCTTCTTGAGCATCTAATTGATTTTCATCAGTTGATTCATCTTCTACAAAACCTATTCCATCTTCATCTGTATCGATATCATCCGAATCTTCATCTCGTTCTACTTGCTTCTAAAGAATCAAAGCGTACTGATTATTTTTTATTTGATTCTCTTTATAAATTTCTTGACCATTGAGAAATTATTTCTATTTTCAATAAATGGGTGAAACTTGTACTTGTCTAGATGAAATGAGTAGCAACTCAATAAAACTGGTGAAATTTTGCAAACTCAAATAAATCCCTACACTTACCACAAAGTTGCATTTGCCTAAATTTATAAAACACTAAACAGTTACCCACACAAAAAATCTGAACCATTGTGAATTAAAACACTACAATATTTGAAAGGAGGTGTTTTCTAATATAAATTTATTATCTGTATCAATACTATTGATACAGAATGAAACATAAGTTGTTTAAAAGTCGTGGCAAAATACTGACAAGGAAATAATGTATATTACATAATTTTTTCTACTCATACATTTCTACTTTGAGCAGTACCTTTATTTGAAAATAGGTTCATCATTATAGCATAATAATAATGCATAGTTAGACTAACAGCTTGAATTTGTCACTGTGTCATTTCATAAGGCATTAAATGCATTGCGTATAATGCACAAGATATTATTTGAATTATTGGATTTATAGTTTTCCAAATACCTCCATTTTAAAAATTGTATGTACCTACTAAGAAAAAATACCCTCTATGAACTATTTAAATGTAATTTTGGTTGCATCAAATCGAGATACAATTGAGCTATCAGATTTTTTTTAATATCTAGTATGATTTTGTAATTCTTGGCATTTTTTGAATATAGCAATTAAGAGAGGAACAAAAATTGCATATGGTTATGCAGATCTCATAGAGTACTCTATTCTGAAATCAAATTGAAAATTTACTATTACATTCTGAGATATAAAGAAGTCAATATAGAAATGACACTTTATCTTTCTAGATATGAAAATGTGAAGTTTGATTTTATTAAATAAAACAACTAAACTGATGAAATTTACACATACTCTCTATCAAATTATTCAATTTCAATGAACCATTTGTTGTATCTCAAAATGCTTAGGACACTACAAAAAAATGTACTTGATAAATCTCAACTATACGACAGTGACAATTTTAAATAGAATGTATGTGTTGTTATGGAAGTGACTAAAAATACAGTAGTCATTGCAGCTTCATTTTTAATGAGAGACATGAGGGTCTGTCTAATTGTTGACATTGTTTTAAACATCAGGTCGACTGCGGCCAGAGGCAATACAGTCAACGCTCTCAGATCCAAGAAAGCATGCTTCAAAAAGAGGTAATTGGTTGCTAAAACTAATATGTTATGGTAATAAATGTAATAAATACTAATAATAAATGCGTAAATTATCAGATCTAAGGGTGTCTCGAATGCAATGTCCCCTAGATCCTGAAGGCCTACAAATGTCAAAATGAGTGGGCAAACATCAACACTTATTTTGACTTAACTGATAGCGTAGCTTATAAAACCATGATACTGCAACATGGTACCATTCATAACGCTCACTTCATATAGATTTCAGTCTACTAATAATAACGGTATTATAACCTATCACTTACAATGACATTGATTCTGTATAACATAGATATCAATCTCCACCACTCATCCTACCGCAGTTCAAACACTATAAAATACGTTGTTTACGTCACAATTACAGCAGTGTCTTACTTGCACAATGTAATAAAAGATCAGTATTACTCGTATAATTCAGAAAAAGGAAATAAAACTCCGTTACATTTTTAAAAGCTTATACTTTTGAAAAAGAATACTGCACTTTTCACATATTTGAACTGAATATTTTCTCAACACTACAGTGGTACAATGTTTGATATGAATAAGCTCAATGTATTGGAATCATAAAGATATTATTCTTAGCTTCTAGGCAACCAAGCCTCATTGAACTCATTTTACCATATCTCCAATACTGTTAGAGATTTACTTTTACTTGTAAAAATCATATTGTATTTTAGTCAAAAATCAAAAACTTTGTAAAAATTTTAGTCAGTACTGGATTTCTTCTGTAATATATACTATTCTATATACAGGGTGTCCTAGAATAACGTGTACAACGGAAAACTACATTCGTGAAATTAAATTAGACAAATTTTAGCCGCTAGATGGTCTCAAAAGTTCATGAAATTTTGTTGAATTTTGTAAATTACTCGAATACGTATTAATCGATTTTGATTATTTTTGGGGTGTGGACTTTTGCTTTCAATCTACAAATTATGGTGTTATACAGTGTTTTTTAAAACTCACTCCTGCAAAATTGATATATGGTGATAATAACCGTTCATAACTTTTTCCTCTTTCGGGCAATAATGACAACTATTTTTTATTTGGTGGGTGATACCATTTGGAAGTTTTTGGGCCTTTTATAGAATTTTGATTAAATGAACGGTTTGGGTACAAAAAATATTTTTTAATGTCTTCGTTATCTTGCGACCCATATTACAATACTTGCTTAGTCACTGATTTTGTAGGTTGACTGTAATTTCAGTTTGATCTATAAGTCATTGTACCTGCCAATTCTTAATGAGTGTTTACTATGAAAAGATATACAATGTTACTTCATTTTTCGATGTGGATACACACACACGACAAATTAGAGTTATTGACAATGTGACTAATTTTATTAAAATAATTCGTAAAAACAATCACATACAATAAAAAATGTTGGAGATGAAAGTAACAAAGTTGATGTTATTAAATTTAGTACAACTTATTATAAACTGTTGACCACCATTGTTTCTACAACAAAAATTAATTCAGTGAAGAAAGTTAAATGACACCTTTTGCAGTTTTTAGGGACTATTTTTTAAACATTTATGGTATTTTGGATATGCCTTCACAACTCTTCTTCAGTGTTAGATGTGGAAACATGCACTGTTGTTTTCAGAGTGCCCCAAAGATAATAGCCGCAAGGTGTTTATATAAATTTCCCCATTCAACAGTCTATTGGGTAGAATAACAAAGCCAATAATAATGCTTTTAATGAACTAAACCAAACTTTGATGCGAAATCATGCTGACAATGTTTCACTTTGTTGTCTCAAAAAATACTCTGTATACCACCAAAATTTGTAGATTGAAAGCAAAAGTTCATATCCCAAAAATAATTAAAATCGAACAATACATATTCTAGTCATTTACAAAATTCAAAAAAATTTTCACTAACTTTGAGGCCATCTAGTGGCCAAACGAAACAATTTCGGATATAGGTAAATTAGCCTAAATCTGCCTATTCTGAGTCCACGAATCTGTGCTCTTCCGTTGTACACGTTATTCTGGGACACCCTGTATATACATACTTAAAATATACCTTATTCCTAAATTTTAAAATACATTAATTTGAATATTAAATAAAATTCTATATTTTTATTTTTAAAAGAGTGGCAAAATGCTGACAAGCAATTAATAAAAAAGATAAATATATTTATTTAAAGTGTATCTTATTTCTAAAATTTAATATAGTCCAAATAAATTCAATCGACTTGAAATATAAAATAAAATTTATTCGTCTTATACGTAAATACAATCATATCTAAATTAGGATAACATTGTTAAGTATTTTATTATATTCAGCATTTATTTCTTCTTTTGCTTTTTGTTACTAACCTTTGGAGGCGGGGGACTATCTTCCTCCTCTTCATCTTCATCGGATTCCTCCTCTTCTTCGGCGTCATCAGACCCCTCCTCTTCTACATCTTCCTCTTCACCAGATTCATCAACATCCTCTTCTTCCTCTCCCGATTCTTCTTCAGCATCTACTTCATCTTCACTGCCTGATTCACCTTCTTCCAAATCTATCTCATCTTCATCTGAATCAATATCATCTGAATCATCGTCATCTTGTTCCACCTGCTTCTGAGGAATGGCCTTCTGGGCTGCCTTCTTATTCTGTATTTTCTGATTTTTATTAGCTTTTCCATTTGTTTTCACATCATTTGACTGCTGCACAATTTTCTTCGATTCATTTTTAACTATGCTAGATTCTGCGGAGGCTTTCTTCGCATTTTTTTTCCTTTCACGGCGTTTCGTAGCTTCCGATTTACTGTGTGGAGCTTTCTGTTGAGGTTGCCCTACAGGTTCCCCTGTAGCAATTCTTTGCAACCTCTGCAATAATTTTACTTTCCTTCTAGCAGTTTTTGAAAGTTCACTGCGGCTCTGAATTGCTTTTAGTTTCTCCTCAATGGTTTTTAGAACACCTTTGTCACCCGATTTAATTTGAAGTTCTAAATTGTAAAAAGAGCCCCTTTTCTTTGTTTTCTTTTCATTTCCTCCAGTCGTATCATTTGCTTTTACTTCTTTAATATTTTTTTTAATTTTCCCTCCTGGTGGCTGGGTACCAGGAAACGGTTTTAATTTTTTGGGAGAATTATTTTCCGATTCACTGTTTTTCTTGTTTTTCTTATTGAATTTTTGTTTCGGTGATATACCTTTCTGAGGTGACTTGAGATGATCTAGTTTTGCCTTCTTTACAGAACCTTTTTTATCTTGTGCATTTGAGAAGTTCTTCCTCTTTGTGGGAGTCTTGGCTTCAACATCAGTCATGTTGCTACAATTAAAATAATTTATTATTTACTTTGCAAGATAATCTCTTGTATTAAAGTTTTAATTTTTTCGTATAAACAATACACATATACATACCAACTTTTTTAAAATTATCTCCTGCCGAATTTCAAAAGCGCTTCGCAAACGTGTATATAACAAGAATACAGACACGCTAAGAAAGTTTGGTTAGGTGAGTAAGAATAAGAAGATGGCGTGGCGTGATGGTGGCGGCGTCGTTATTCCATTTCTATTATGTTCGATGGGGGTTGAAAGCGGCGTTGCCAATTTAGGGCAGTTTCCGTTAGATTTCGCGCGCCATTATTCCATGGCTAGATATTGGCCTCAATGATTTGGGATCGAGGGGGATTATCCCTCTTTATCCTGCCTCATCTCGTGTAGGCCTGGACAGCCTTCG